GTCGTTTAAAGAACAAACAGTAGCTCTTCAACAAGCAATAACTCTTTAACAACATCATTGTAACAAAACTTTTCTTTTTTTTTAAAACACCACTTGGCAATACTGAAAACAAAACTCATCAACTTAAGCAAGAACATTCAACATAGTAATAAGGTAATTTATAGTACTGAAAACAAAACCAAACAGAAATGGGGACTTATGGTTGCGGGTCTTCAAAATCCCGCGGGTTAACCTGTCCCGCATTCGGCCCGTCCCGTTTTGAGCCCGTCCCACATTCGACCAGTCCTATTTTGAGTCTGTCCCGCTAGGCCCGCAATTTTGCGGACTTATCAAATGAAGGCCCAATCCCGCCCCGCAGCAAGCTTTTACGGGCCAGGCCCGCGGTGCAGGTCTTTGCTTGCCATCCCTACTAATAAGCCGTAGTTAGCCTAACTAGATTACAATTCCTTGGGCGCCAAGTCTCGACATTAATACGGGTTATCATAATTGGAAGCAAATAATTCATATTAATCATATTAAGTACTCGTAGAGAATTTTTTTGTTGCAAGGTAAGTAACATTTTCAATTTTTAATGTAAAAATTTATTAATTTTATGCTACAATTACTTTTCTATTGGTTGAAATATAGTTAAGTGTATACATAATTATGTTTTTATATAGAAAATATGTAAAATTAATTGTTTACTTAATTATTCTTGTGTCCACAAAGTTAAATTGACACTTAATATAAAATTGAGAGAATATATTCTTATTAGCCTTTTGCTATAGTCCTCCTAAGTCCAAACATTCTATATATGGCTTATCATTTTTGGAATCAAATATATTTTTGTTGGTCTTTTGCTGGGGAAACGGCTGATTAGTACCTGAAATATGGTCATATTGTCTGATCAATACCTAAACTATTTCATTGTGCGAATTTATACCTAATCTAATACAACTTTTGAATTTAGTACCTGAAGTATGGTTATATTGTCTGATCAATACTCAGGGATTTCATAATTGGGGTTTTGAATAAGACAAAACTATTTCACCGTTCAGATTTGTACCTAATCTATTAAATTTTTTGAATTTGATACATGAACTAATAAAAACCGACTTTTACATACTTCCAACTGATAACGTGTCGATATTATGCTGAGGTAGACTGGTTTCTTGATGAGTTGGATGTTGTTTCAAAAAAAGAATTCTTTAAAAAAAAGAGGCTGCCTTGGTCCAAACCCGTTTCCAAACATATTTATAATAAATTCACTAACTGCTTATGATGGATAAGATCCAAATTACTTTTGAATGGTGTCTTTGTTTATCACCACCATGTCTCAAATGATTCATCAAATATTATGTAATTAATCGTTGTTTGTCACCACCATGCCTCAAATGATTCATCAAATCTCATATAATAAATCGTTGTTTTGATGAAACTTTTTGATGAGATTTGATGAAACGAGATTCAAAAAGCGATTATATGAGATTTAATGAATGAGATTCAAAACAAAATTAAAGAAATTTGATAAATCATTTGAGACATGATTGTGAGGAACAGAGACACCACTCAAAGGTTATATAGTTGTTTCGGTACAACAAAACGACGAATCTTTTCTAGCATAAACAATTAATGCCATTATTATGTATATGTTTGAGATCCTGGTTCGAATCAAGTTGTTTCATTTTTGTTTATTCTTTTAATTTTTTTTTTGAAACAACACCAACTCATCAAGAAATCGGTACACCTCAGAAGAATACCGACATGTTGTTTGTCGCATGTATGTAAAAGTCAGTTTTTAGAAGCTCATGTATCAAATTCAAAATTTGTATTAGATCAGGTACAAATTCGCACAGTGAAATAGTTTAGGTATTGATCAGACAATATGACCATAGTTCATATACTAAATTCAAAATTTGTATTAGATTAGGTATGAATTCGCACAGTAAAATAGTTTCGGTATTGATCAGACAATATGACCATAGTTCAGGTACTAATCGGTCGTTTTCTCGTCTTTTGCTACAGTCTCTTCGAAGTCCAAACATTCTAAATACGGTTTATCATTTTTGGAATCAAATAATATCTTTTTGTTGGAATTTTGCTAGTCTCTCCCAACTCCAAACTTTTTAAATACGGCTTATCATTTTTGGAATCAAATAATATCTTGTTGTTGGAATTTTGCTACAGTTTCTCCCAAATCCAAACATTCTAAATACGGATTATCATGTTTCGAAGCAAATAATATCTTTTTATTGGTCTTTTTCTATAGTCCTGCTAAGTCCAAACATTCTAAATACGACTTATCATTTTGGAATCAAATACTCCTCTTCCATTTCTTCTGTTTCAAAAATGTTGTTATAGAAAAAATGTTGTTTCAAAGTAAGGCTAGTTTTATAATTTTCAATGTAGAATAATAGTGTTTTTATTTTTAAAATATATAAAACTAAACCTTCTATTATATATTAATTAAGAAGTCACTTAAGTGATTTATGTTGGTGTGTCATTCATAAGAGATTTCTCTAATTAATTATTATAATTTGATTGGTTAGTGATTTTTTATTTTTATTTATTTAATTAAAAATTTTAAAAGGAAACTAATCCTAGAACTATCTAATCAAATATATGTTTTCAAACATACAATTAAACATCTTATATATAGATAAACTAACATAATTTATTTATAGGAACAACTAAATATCAAAGATTACATTATATAAATTTATGATATACATATAAAAACATATGCTACTACATAAACAATTAGAAAAAATGGTTTTTAATATATTTATATGACTAGTGAATACAATAATTCATAAATTTCAGAAAACTGATTAATCTAAAATATTAATTAAATTTACTCAATCACTATATATATATTCTAAAATGTGTCAAATAATTCAAAGCATTTAAATATATAATTTGACATATTCTAATCATTTCCAATGATAATACGATATCACATAAGAGTTATCACTTTTAGAAATGATTACAATATTTTTACTAAACATTAAATTTATATGGTAAGTCATTTAAATTTATATTAATCAAGAAAAGGTATTTAATTCATCTACTAATATAAACAGATAATTTAAATAATTAATTGGTAATATATTTAAAATTATATTATATAGTAATTCATTTAAAATTATTATTATTATATGTTAAGTCATTTGAGTTTTATGTTAAACACTACATAAAAATGAGTGAGAAAGTGTGATTTGATAAAATTATGAGAGAGATTGTTTAAACTATTCATTTTCTTAATACATGTTTTCATATTTATCTTAATCAAATTAATTCTTAGCTTTAAAGAAATAAATCATGTTATATATTAAATGAAAAGTCACTTAAATGATTTTCTTATGTGTTGTTATTAGGTCAAATTTTAAAAATAATTATAATTTAATTGGTTTTTGACGTTTAATAGTTATTTATTTTAAGAAGATCTAAAAATAAAAGGTAACTATAGAACTAATTGATACAAATAACACAAGGGATATTACAAATAATGATTTATGGTTACTAATTACAGAATTAGTGAAAGAATTATATGTTTTATTAATTCATTTATTTTTATCAATTATGTATATATAATTAACTAAAATAATTTAACAGGTTTTATAAAAAAATTAATGTTTATATATTCTTATATAAAAGAATTAGATTTGTAGTTAAGAAATTATTAGAACTTCTATGTTTTTAAAACCCACATAAAAATGTTTACAAAAATCTTCATGATAAACCTACAAACATTATATTACTCATATTGGAGCTACACAAAAATACTATCTTTTTTTTTTCTTTTGTAAACTAGAACCATTCTGTTTTTCACGTGTTAAAATCTAATATAAAATAAATATACAACCAATTATCTGAATTAATTATAATATTATTTTCTGTAAGAGAAAGATTTTTAATGACGAAGGTTTATGTTGTTTAACTACTTTAAATCTCACAGAATTTCTAAAATATATATACTGAAATTTTTGATTTATTTACTATTTGAAATTAAAAATTAAAATTCCTTAATATTACTTAAAAGTACAACAATGTAAACATAATATATATTTTCATATAATATATTTACCCGTAAAATTAGAGGCAAACACCGAGTTTTGTAATTTGTGTGCACTGACCTTAACAAGAACTAAAATGAAATAGAGAGAGTAATATCTTGTTATTGGCTTTTTGCTGGGAAAAGTGTTTATTCATATCCAAACAATTTCAATAGTGCGAAATATAACCTGAAAAAATTGTCAGTGGTAAATACGACCTGAACAACGTTATATTAAAAAAAATTACATAGGACTTTTTAAAACGTGCATAAAAAAGCGACATCGTTTTGATTTCGATATTTTTTTCAGAAAATATGCACATTTCAGAACTCGAACTCTTGCCTTGCCACTGTTTAAAAGAGACACAACAACCACTAAACTAAAGCAATTTTTGGAGTCAGAGGTCTAAGTCTTTCATTTTGGATATCAAATTAAATTTTATGAACATAGCGATTAGTAGTGGTCCATAGTAGTGGCCCATATATGGAAGCCCTATTACTTAACTGGACTAACCTTTGTTTCTATGACTTTTCATGAGACAATTTATTCACAGGGAGAGACTTAATCGAGTTTAAGAATGTTATGAAGATCCTGAATCTTCAATCTCTCTAGAAGACTTGCATGATGAAGAAGTGATGTTCAGGTTAGAACTATTAAGCTTTACTAATTAATAATTAAATGGACATTGAAGTTATGACTCCAAATGGATTATTAGAAACCATATATTATCGAGATTTCAGTTGTAGTAAGTAATATGATGTTTTGAACTGATACTAAACCTAGTTCATAACAACACACGCATTCATTTGAGGAACAAAAACATGTATAAAAATAATAGTTATATTGATGAAATCAAGGTCCAAAAATGAAAAATGAAACTTGTCCAAAGCTGAACTATGTTTACGAGGAAAAAGACCAAAGAGATGTAAATCCAATATGAAAATCATTTAAGAATATGATAGTATATCACTGGCTAGCACCGAGCCATTTTGTGAAGTTGTCAAACTCGGTGTAGTCACTGTCGGAGATCATAGTCTGGTACCACGACTTCCCTGCTGCTTTGATTGCCAATGCCTCCTCCTGTAATATTAATAAGGTTTAAATAAAGTTAAAGAAAACTCTAAATTCCGAACAAGAAAAATTTTACTGCTACAAATATACAAAGACATGATTCAGACAGACACTAACACACGAACTATAAAAGCAAAAGTCATGCCAAAATGAAACCTCCAACTGGAAATGAAACATAACACTATCAATTAAAGACAATACTTCTAGACAACTAGACCACATAACAGATGTTAAAACAACAGACACAACTATTCAAACAGCGTGAACAAATGATAAACCAACAATAAGTGTGACAAAAGACAAAATAAGCAAATGATATATATATATTTACCTTGGTGACAATCTTCCTCTTCTTGGTAAGCTTCTCCTTCTTAGCCACAACCCTCTGCGCCTCAGCCAACAAAGACATCCTCTTGGCAGTCTTAGCAAACGGATTCAACTTCAACATCACATTCAAATTCTTCAAAGGATTCTTCTTCATCACGGCCCTCTTCACATCCTTCTTAATCGGCTTCACCACACTCTGCACCTCATCCGAATTAATAATCCTCGCCAAATCAGCATTCACCATCTTCGCCCTAGGCAACACATACCCTTTCTTCTTCTCCGACGCCTTCTCAAAAGATCCATAAATACCCTCAAGCTTCTCAAAAGCACTCTTGGTCCAAATCACAAACCTCCCAACGTGACCACCAGGTGCAAGCTTCAACAAGTTAAGCCTCTCCACATGACAAAGCTCAACACCAGGAAGGTTCCTAAACGCCTTCACAATCTTGGACCCTTCAGTACCGTAAACCACAAGAGGACCTTTCCTACAAACGTAACGACGATTCCTCATTTTCCCCACACCAGACCTAATCCCAATACTCTCCTTCGCCTTCTCAGCGTCATCATAAGCACCAACCTGTTTCAAAACCCTAATAGCATCTGACGTCTTCTCCACGGCTTCAACAGAGTCACTCACCACGAGTGGCATTTCCGGAACATTCTCAATCTTATGTCCACGTCCCATCACAAGAGCGGGAACAGCTGTCGCGGCAATAGCCGACACGATCGCGTGCCTCTTCATGTTGACGTTAACACGTCTGTGCCAAATCCGATAAACTTTGTTCGGAAAGGCCATGGTTCCGCCACGACACATGTTACCAAAGGCTGCTTGTCCCGCACGGTGAGTTCCACCTCCGGGGACACGGGGGATACGAGAGACGGCGCGTCCCGTTCCCCACGACTCGGCGGAGGTCTGGTGACCGGCTTTTGTGGAGACGGCGTAGGGCTGGCGGCTGTTGTTGGAGGTTTGGGCGTGGACGAAGTTGACCATGTCGGGACGGACTGGGGCTGTCATGACGGCGGGTAAGACGACGGTTGAGGAGTGATCGGTGGTCATGTCACTGTCTAGGGCTTGGACAGTGACGAGAGGACGAGCAGCGGAGGCGGCCATTTCGCTGTTTAGGTTTTGTCTCACTGTAAACGTCTAGGGTTGTAGCTGATTTTGCTTAAGACGTTATTTATACTTGTGTTTTTTTCTAGGGTTATTGCCTGACTAATGGGCCTAATAAGTAGAGATGGCAATTGGGTTTTCCCGTCCCGTTCCATCCCGTACCACAGCGGGCTCATCGTTGAGCGGGTCACGGCGGACCTGTCCTGCGTGGGCTGCGATCTTCCATTTATAAGTCTTCGCGGGCCGTCTCGCGGGAAGTCTTCTTCAGCTTCCTTCATGAATGTTAAAGTAGAAGAGTTGAGTAAAGAAGTTGCAGAGAGTTGAACAACATCGATCGCAACAACATCCAATGTGATCATTTGCTAGTTTAATGGTCTTGAAGTAAGTGAGAGCCATTTGAATAGTAAAATTTAACTCTTTCAAGAATATTCCTTGTTTGATTCTTTGTAAAGTAATGTCTCTTCATAGCAACAATAACTTAATACTAACTAGATGCGGAAATTTTTTATGATTAAAAATTATATAATTGAGTTTTGTCTTAATTGAAAGAATATTTTGATATAAAATCAGTTCACCAAAATTTGTGGTGATAATTGTTTTTCATTAGTTTTTAGTTTCAGTTTTTATTTTTAGATTTTGGTTTTTAGTTTTTAAGTTTCTACTTTTCATTTTCAGTTTTTGGTTTGGGTTTTTAATTTTTAAACCCGTTGAGTTAGTTTGAACTAATATTACCAACAAACAAATCTCAAATAATCGAACATCTAATTTAAAACTGAAAAGATGATAACAATTTTTTTTAAAAAAATTTGAAATAGTTTATTTTTTTAAATAAGCAAAGCAAAAAAAATATAACATGTGTTTTCAGCATTTGGTTTTGGATTTTAGTTTTTAGATTTGGTTTTTGGTTTTGCTTTACATTTTTTTAATCAGTAAATTATTTAAGAAAAATAAAACAATAAATTATTTAAAAGTTACCATTGAAATTTATCAAAATAAAGTGATTGTTATTTAAAATAAAAAATATATTAACATGTTTTAAACTACATGATTTAAATAAATGATTAATAATAGATAATTTTGTTTTGTTAAAAATATTAAATACCTTTTGGGTCTGAAAAAAATAATTGATTTTTTTGATCTTTTAAGGTGAAAAGTTTATTCAATGTGTTGGAGTTTTTTCTTAATACTAAGCCAAAAAACCAAACTATATAATTTGTTCAAAAAATAAAAGTAAGCCCAAGACTATATTCCATAAATAACCACTGGTTTAATTTAAGTATAATTATTAGATTTTCATATTCCATATTTTGATGATATATATTCTTTTAGAACATTCCATATTTGTAGGAGAAAATATGTGTTTTTTGTATACACATAGATACCTGCCGTATTTTGAAGGTAGTTTACATTAAGGTCTGTCTCTTTACATTAATTGTGTTGGTTTAATTTAAGTAATACGGTTCAATCAATTATATGACTTATATTATTTTTAACATTCTAGAAAGGGTCCGAATTTAAATGACAACTTGTATCAGTAGATAAAAAGAATGACTCTATTTTAATAGATTAGATTTGGTTTTTGGTTTTGCTTTACATTTTTTTAATCAGTAAATTATTTAAGAAAAATAAAACAATAAATTATTTAAAAGTTACCATTGAAATTTATCAAAATAAAGTGATTGTTATTTAAAATAAAAAATATATTAACATGTTTTAAACTACATGATTTAAATAAATGATTAATAATAGATAATTTTGTTTTGTTAAAAATATTAAATACCTTTTGGGTCTGAAAAAAAATAATTGATTTTTTTGATCTTTTAAGGTGAAAAGTTTATTCAATGTGTTGGAGTTTTTTCTTAATACTAAGCCAAAAAACCAAACTATATAATTTGTTCAAAAAATAAAAGTAAGCCCAAGACTATATTCCATAAATAACCACTGGTTTAATTTAAGTATAATTATTAGATTTCCATATTCCATATTTTGATGATATATATTCTTTTAGAACATTCCATATTTGTAGGAGAAAATATGTGTTTTTTGTATACACATAGATACCTGCCGTATTTTGAAGGTAGTTTACATTAAGGTCTGTCTCTTTACATTAATTGTGTTGGTTTAATTTAAGTAATACGGTTCAATCAATTATATGACTTATATTATTTTTAACATTCTAGAAAGGGTCCGAATTTAAATGACAACTTGTATCAGTAGATAAAAAGAATGACTCTATTTTAATAGAGTAGATGATTTCTTCATCTCTTTCAACCAAGCTGTTGAACTTAGAGTGTAAAGACAAGATTCTGCAGTAACCCAAACTCTCATTTCGAGTCGTTTAAAGAACAAACAGTAGCTCTTCAACAAGCAATAACTCTTTAACAACATCATTGTAACAAAATTTAATTTTTTTTTTAAAACACCAATTGGCAATACTGAAAACAAAACTCATCAACTTAAACAAGAACATTCAACATAGTAATAAGACAATTTATAGTACTGAAAACAAAACCAAACATAAATAGGGACTTATGGTTACGGGTCTTCAAAATCCCGCGGGTTAACCTGTCCCGCATTCGCCCCGTCCCGTTTTGAGCCCGTCCCACATTCGACCAGTCCTATTTTGAGCCTGTCCCGCGAGGCCGGCAATTTTGCAGACTTATCAAATGAAGGCCCAATCCCGCCCCGCAGCAAGCTTTTACGGGCCAGGCCCGCGGTGCAGATCTTGTGTCCACAAAGTTAAATTGACACTTAATATAAAATTGAGAGAATATATTCTTATTAGCCTTTTGCTATAGTCCTCCCAAGTCCAAACATTCTATATATGGCTTATCATTTTTGGAATCAAATAATATATTTTTGTTGGTCTTTTGCTGGGGAAACGGCTGATTAGTACCTGAACTATGGTCATATTGTCTGATCAATACCTAAACTATTTCATTGTGCGAATTTGTACCTAATCTAATACAACTTTTGAATTTAGTACCTGAAGTATGGTTATATTGTCTGATCAATACTCAAACTATTTCACCGTTCAGATTTGTACCTAATCTATTAAATTTTTTGAATTTGATACATGAACTAATAAAAACCGACTTTTACATACTTCCAACTGATAACGTGTCGATATTATGCTGAGATAGACTGGTTTCTTGATGAGTTGGGTGTTGTTTCAAAAAAAGAATTCTTTAAAAAAAAGAGGCTGCCTTGGTCCAAACCCGTTTCCAAACATATTTATAATAAATTCACTAACTGCTTATGATGGATAAGATCCAAATTACTTTTGAATGGTGTCTTTGTTTATCACCACCATGTCTCAAATGATTCATCAAATATTATGTAATTAATCGTTGTTTGTCACCACCATGCCTCAAATGATTCATCAAATCTCATATAATTAATCGTTGTTTTGATGAAACTTTTTGATGAGATTTGATGAAACGAGATTCAAAAAGCGATTATATGAGATTTAATGAATGAGATTCAAAACAAAAAGAAATTTGATAAATCATTTGAGACATGATTGTGAGGAACAAAGAAACCACTCAAAGGTTATATAGTTGTTTCGGTACAACAAAACGACGAATCTTTTCTAGCATAAACAGTTATTGCCATTATTATGTATATGTTTGGGATCCTGGTTCAAATCAAGTTGTTTCATTTTTGTTTATTCTTTTAATTTTTTTTTTGAAACAACACCAACTCATCAAGAAATCGGTACACCTCAGAAGAATACCGACATGTTGTTAGTCGCATGTATGTAAAAGTCAGTTTTTAGAAGTTCATGTATCAAATTCAAAATTTGTATTAGATCAGGTACAAATTCGCACAGTGAAATAGTTTAGGTATTGATCAGACAATATGACCATAGTTCATATACTAAATTCAAAATTTGTATTAGATTAGGTATGAATTCGCACAGTAAAATAGTTTGGATATTGATCAGACAATATGACCATAGTTCAGGTACTAATCGGCCGTTTTCTCGTCTTTTGCTACAGTCTCTTCGAAGTCCAAACATTCTAAATACGGTTTATCATTTTTGGAATCAAATAATATCTTTTTGTTGGAATTTTGCTAGTCTCTCCCAACTCCAAACTTTTTAAATACGGCTTATCATTTTTGGAATCAAATAATATCTTTTTGTTGGAAATTTGCTACAGTTTCTCCCAAATCCAAACATTCTAAATACGGATTATCATGTTTCGAAGCAAATAATATCTTTTTATTGGTCTTTTTCTACAGTCCTGCTAAGTCCAAACATTCTAAATACGACTTCTCATTTTGGAATCAAATACTCCTCTTCCATTTCTTCTGTTTCAAAAATGTTGTTATAGAAAAAATGTTGTTTCAAAGTAAGTCTAGTTTTATAATTTTCAATGTAGAATAGTGTTTTTTATTTTTAAAATATATAAAATTAAACCTTCTCTTATATATTAATTAAGAAGTCACTTAAGTGATTTATGTTGGTGTGTCATTCATAAGAGATTTCTCTAATTAATTATTATAATTTGATTGGTTAGTGATTTTTTATTTTTATTTATTTAATTGAAAATTTTAAAAGGAAACTAATCCTAGAACTATCTAATCAAATATATGTTTTCAAACATACAATTAAACATCTTATATATAGATAAACTAACATAATTTATTTATAGGAACAACTAAATATCAAAGATTACATTATATAAATTTATGATATACATATAAAAACATATGCTACTACATAAACAATTAGAAAAAATGGTTTTTAATATATTTATATGACTAGTGAATACAATAATTCATAAATTTCAGAAAACTAATTAATCTAAAATACTAATTAAATTTACTCAATCACTATATATATATTCTAAAATGTGTCAAATAATTCAAAGCATTTAAATATATAATTTGACATATTCTAATCATTTCCAATGATAATACGATATCACATATGAGTTATCACTTTTAGAAATGATTACAATATTTTTACTAAACATTAAATTTATATGGTAAGTCATTTAAATTTATATTAATCAAGAAAAGGTATTTAATTCATCTACTAATATAAACAGATGAATTTAAATAATTAACTGGTAATATATGAAAAATTATATTATATAGTAATTCATTTAAAATTATTATTATTATATGTTAAGTCATTTGAGTTTTATGTTAAACACTACATAAAAATAAGTGAGAAAGTGTGATTTGATAAAATTATGAGAGAGATTGTTTAAACTATTCATTTTCTTAATACATGTTTTCATATTTATCTTAATCAAATTAATTCTTAGCTTTAAAGAAATAAATCATGTTATATATTAAATGAAAAGTCACTTAAATGATTTTCTTATGTGTTGTTATTAGGTCAAATTTTAAAAATAATTATAATTTAATTTGTTTTTTGACGTTTAATAGTTATTTATTTTAAGAAGATCTAAAAATAAAAGGTAACTATAGAACTAATTAATACAAATTATACCAAATAACACAAGGGATATTACAAATAACGATTTATGGTTACTAATTACAGAATTAGTGAAAGAATTATATGTTTTATTAATTCATTTATTTTATCAATTATGTATATATAATTAACTAAAATAATTTAACAGGTTTTATAAAAAAAACTAATGTTTATATATTCTTATATAAAAGAATTAGATTTGTAGTTAAGAAATTATTAGAACTTCTATGTTTTTAAAACCCACATAAAAATGTTTACAAAAATCTTCATGATAAACCTACAAACATTATATTACTCATATTGGAGCTACACAAAAATACTATCTTTTTTTTTTCTTTTAAAAACTAGAACCATTCTGTTTTTCACGTGTTAAAATCTAATATAAAATAAATATACAACCAATTATCTGAATTAATTATAATATTATTTTCTGTAAGAGAAAGATTTTTAATGACAAAGGTTTATGTTGTTTAACTACTTTAAATCTCACAGAATTTCTAAAATATATATACTGAAATTTTTGGTTTATTTACTATTAGAAATTAAAAATTAAAATTCCTTAATATTACTTAAAAGTACAACAATGTAAACATAATATATATTTTTCATATAATATAGTTACCCGTAAAATTAGAGGCAAACACCAAGTTTTGTAATTTGTGTGCACTGACCTTAACAAGAACTAAAATGAAATAGAGAGAGTAATATCTTGTTATTGGCTTTTTGCTGGGAAAAGTGTTTGTTCCTATCCAAACAATTTCAATAGTGCGAAATATAACCTGAAAAAATTGTCAGTGCTAAATACGACCTGAACAACGTTATATTAAAAAAAATTACATAGGACTTTTTAAAACGTGCATAAAAAACGACATCGTTTTGATTTCGATATTTTTTCAGAAAATATGCACATTTCAGAATTCTAACCCATGCCTTGCCACTCTTTAAAAGAGACACATCAACCACTAAACTAAAGCAATTTTTGGAGTCAGAGGTCTAAGTCTTTCGTTTTGCATATCAAATTAAATTTTATGAACATAGCGATTAGTAGTGGTCCATAGTAGTGGCCCATATATGGAAGCCCTATTACTTAACTGGACTAACCTTTGTTTCTATGACTTTTCATGAGACAATTTATTCACAGGGAGAGACTTAATCGAGTTTAAGAATGTTATGAAGATCCTGAATCTTCAATCTCTCTAGAAGACTTGCATGATGAAGAAGTGATGTTCAGGTTAGAACTATTAAGCTTTACTAATTAATAATTAAATGGACATTGAAGTTATGACTCCAAATGGATTATTTGGGTGGGAAAGAATCTAGTTATGAAATTAGAAACCATATTATCGAGATTTCAGTTCTAGTAAGTAATATGATGTTTTGAACTGATACTAAACCTAGTTCATAACAACACACGCATTCATTTGAGGAACAAAAACATGTATAAAAATAATAGTTATATTGATGAAATCAAGGTCCAAAAATGAAAAATGAAACTTGTCCAAAGCTGAACTATGTTTACGAGGAAAAAGACCAAAGAGATGTAAATCCAATATGAAAATCATTTAAGAATATGATAGTATATCACTGGCTAGCACCGAGCCATTTTGTGAAGTTGTCAAACTCGGTGTAGTCACTGTCGGAGATCATAGTCTGGTACCACGACTTCCCTGCTGCTTTGATTGCCAATGCCTCCTCCTGTAATATTTAAGAGTTTTAAATAAAGTTAGAGAAAACTCTAAATTCCGAACAAGAAAATTTTTACTGCTACAAATATACAAAGACATGATTCAGACAGACACTAACACACGAACTATAAAAGCAAAAGTCATGCCAAATGAAAGATTATGAAACATAACACTATCAATTAAAGACAATACTTCTAGACACCTAGACCACATAACAGATGTTAAAACAACAGACACAATTATTCAAACAGCGTGAACAAATGATAAACCAACAATAAGTGTGACAAAAGACAAAATAAACAAATGATATTTTACCTTGGTGACAATCTTCCTCTTCTTGGTAAGCTTCTCCTTCTTAGCCACAACCCTCTGCGCCTCAGCCAACAAAGACATCCTCTTAGCAGTCTTAGCATACGGATTCAACTTCAACATCACATTCAAATTCTTCAAAGGATTCTTCTTCATCACAGCCCTCTTCATATCCTTCTTAATCGGCTTCACCACACTCTGAACCTCATCAGAATTAATAATCCTCGCCAAATCAGCATTCACCATCTTAGCCCTAGGCAACACGTACCCTTTCTTCTTCTCCGAAGGAGTCTCAAAAGATCCATAGATACCTTCAAGCTTCTCAAAAGCAGACTTAGTCCAAATCACAAACCTCCCAACGTGACCACCAGGTGCAAGCTTCAACAAGTTAAGCCTCTCAANGAAGGTTCCTAAACGCCTTCACAATCTTCCCTCCTTCGTTACCGTAAACCACAAGAGGCCCTTTCCGACAAACATACCTCCTGTTCCTCATTTTCCCCACACCAGACCTAATCCCAATACTCTCCTTCGCCTTCTCAGCGTCATCATAAGCACCAACCTGTTTCAAAACCCTAATAGCATCTGACGTCTTCTCCACGGCTTCAACAGAGTCACTCACCACGAGGGGCATTTCCGGAACATTCTCAATCTTATGTCCACGTCCCATCACAAGAGCGGGAACAGCTGTCGCGGCAATAGCCGACACGATCGCGTGTCTCTTCATGTTCACGTTAACACGTCTGTGCCAAATCCGATAAACTTTGTTCGGAAAGGCCATGGTTCCGCCACGACACATGTTACCAAAGGCTGCTTGTCCCGCACGGTGAGTTCCACCTCCGGGAACACGAGGGATACGAGAGACGGCGCGTCCGGTTCCCCACGACTCGGCGGAGGTCTGGTGACCGGCTTTTGTGGAGACGGCGTAGGGCTGGCGGCTGTTGTTGGAGGTTTGGGCGTGGACGAAGTTGACCATGTCGGGACGGACGGGGGCTGTCATGACGGCGGGTAAGACGACGGTTGAGGAGTGATCGGTGGTCATGTCGCTGTCTAGGGCTTGGACAGTGACGAGTGGACGAGCAGCGGAGGCGGCCATTTCGCTGTTTAGGTTTTGTCTCACTGTCTTGAAAGACGTCTAGGGTTGTAGCTGATTTGGCTTCTGACGTTATTTATAGGGGAATTGGCTTTACTAGCCATAAAATAACATGTAATTAGGTATCTAGCTAAAAAAAACACACTCAACTATTATTATAATATATACTATATTATCTCTCCTTCCCGGTTAATACGTACACAAACTTGTTTTTCCTCACTTACTTACCACTTCTTCTTTTTCACTTACCTACCACCATCACTTCTTCCAATTCACTACCATTTTTTGTAAAAAAAAAAATTAGTCATTTGGATCTTTATCTATCATACCATGTACCAACTATCATCATTGCTTTTATATTAACCAATTTCATTTTGTTAACTACCATTTCCTTCATATTAGTCACCACCATCTTTTGAAAATTTATAGATGAGACAGCGTTACGGTGGCGTCCTCATTTTCCTGTAAGTTCTCCATTGTACTATGTTATTTGAACAGTATGTAATATGTTATTTCATTTGTTTACTATTCTGTTTCCATAATTTTTCATATTATGTATTATATGCATATTTTATATTAAATTAGGGTTTATATTTCCTTTTAAGGTTTAATGTCCTAATTTTTTAGGTTTAGTTTATGGAATGTTTGGATTGACTTTAGGGTAAACATTATCTCCTTCCCTGCAATCTTGAACATTAATATGTATTATATTATTTTGTTTGTTACTATTCTATTTCAGTAATACTTCATATTATGTATTATGTGCATAAAATTTGAGTTAGGGTTTATATTTTCCTTTTAGGGTTTAGTGATTAGTGTTTTAGATTTAGTTTATAGAAAATATGGATTGACTTTAGGATAAACATTACCTCATTCCTTGCAATCATGAACATTAATATGTACTATAATATTTTGTTTGTTACTATTCTATTTCAATAATACTTCATATTATGTATTATGTGCATATTTTAATATTTGAGTTAGGGTTTATATTTTCCTTTTAGGGTTTAGTGATTAGTGTTTTGGATTTAGTTTATAGAAGATATGGTTTGACTTTAGTATAAATATTACCTCATTCCTTGCAATCAAAGATATTTTAAAATTTGAACATTAATATATTCCATGCTATTTTGTTTGTTAGTATTCCATTTTGATAATGATTCATACGATGTATTATGTGCATTTTTGATATTCGGATTAGAGTTTATATTTTCTCTTAGGGTTTAGTAACTAGTGTTTTAGGTTTAGTTGGTAGAAGATTTAGGTTGATTTTGGGGTAAGACTACTTCATTCTCTGCAGTCATAAATATTTTAAAATTTATCCATTATGTACTATGATATTTTGTTTGTTACTATTCTGTTTTGATAGTACTTAATTTTATGTACTATGCACATATTTTGATATTTGGGTTAAGGTTTACATTTCCTTTTAAGGTTTAGTGATTATTGTTTAGGGTTTAGTTTTTAGAAAATCTGGATGTTGCGTTTAATTTTATTAATTTTGGATATATATAGAATATTATTATATTTATATCATTTTATATTTACTTAATATAAACTATACCATTTAGCATGTTCTATTCTGTTTATCTATTATCACCATAATCAACGTGGATACTATAACTCCCACTAATCTAGTATCTCTTTATTTTTATTTTTTTTAAATGACATATGCTTTTGTTACAGGTGGCTTAGAAAAAGGAGAGAACCGGCAAAATAAGAACAAAATGCTATGGGATCAGATAATATCAAATCATGTGCTATATTCTTAATTATCTCTCTAAAATTGGCTATCTCACCAATTAACCCTTATTTATACTTGTGTTTTTTTTCTGGGTTATTGACCGACTAATGGGCCTAATAAGACCTAGTTAGCCTAACTAAGATTACAATTCCTTGGGCGCCAAGTCTCGACATTAATACATGTTTTCAATTTTTAGTGTAAAATTTATTAATTTTATGTTATAATTATTATTTTTTGGTTGAAATATAATTAAGTGTATAAATAATTATGTTTTTATATAGAAAATATGTAAAATTAATTGTTTACTTAATTCATATCCACAAAGTTAAATTGACACTTAATATAAAATTGAGGGAATATATCATTATTGGCCTTTAGCTATAGTCCTCTCAACTCCAAACATTCTATATACGGCTTATATTTTTTGGAATCAAATAATATCTTTTTTTTTTGGCCTTTTGCTACAGTCTCTCCAAGTCCAAACATTCTAAATACAACTTATCATTTTTGGAATCAAATAATATATTTTTGTTTGCATTTTGCTACAATCTCTCCCAAGTCAAAACATTCTAAATACGGATTATCATTTTTGGAAGCAAATAATATCTTTTTATTGGTCTTTTTCTATAGTCCTTCCAAGTCCAAATATTCTAAATACGACTTATCATTTTGAAATCAAATACTCCTCTTCCATTTCTTCTGTTTCAAAAATGTTATTATAGAAAAAATGTTGTTTCAAAGTAAGTATAGTTCTATAATTTTCAATGTAGAATAGTGTTTTTATTTTAAAAATATATAAAACTAAATCTTCTCTTATATATTAATTGAGAAGTCACTTAAATGATTTATGTTGATGTCATTCATAAGATATTTCTCTAATTAATTGTTATAATTTGATTGGTTAGTGATTTTTTTTTATTTTTACTTACTTGAAAAATTAGTTGTTTTTTTTTATAACACTGAGACGTAAAAATATTCGAGACAATACAAAATGATAGAGAATCATAAGAGAAAAAGAAGATGTCAGTAGACATCAAAATAAAAAGGAGAAAGAACTTCACCCAACCGTTAAATGCTGGGCTTCCAGAGCGAGTAGATGGTGTAGCCATACGGGAGCATTGCTGGCGATGTAAGACTGGTGGCGGTGATCGCGAGTGACACTTATAGCAATAGCGTCAGCAGCTTCATCCCGTTCTTGAAGTGCGTGATCTAGACTCCAGAAAGCAATCTTGGATAGCAGAAAGCAGACATTGTGGCAGACAAGACTGAGACTGAGATGGTTATCCGGATTACTAAAAACGTCATGGAGGTCCTCGGAAAAAAAGAAAAAAATTAGTTAGTTATAATTATAATCTAAACAAATTTTAATAAAAAAATATTTATTTATTTTTCATATGTTTTAAATCGATATATGATAAATATAAAATTAAAATAAAATTCTAAAATATTCTCTATAATATATCACTTTTAATTCATTTATTTTGTAAACAAATAATTTGATTATAATTTAGAGATTTTTTTTGTCTAAAAAAAAAGACGGGTAATAAATCAAGTAATAAGTCACGAGTAACAAGCCAACAATGCCAAGTAGTTATTTTCATTACTTGCAAGTAATTGCAATAAACGGCTTGATACTCGACTTGAACAAAACGAGTACTCGATTTTAAGAGCCAAGTACGGATCAAGTATTGAGTATAATCTGATTATTAAGTAAGTGTGCCCACTAGTCTTGAAGACTTGCATGATGAAGAAGTGATGTTCAAGTTAGAACTATTAAGCTTTACTGATTAATAATTAAATGGACATTGAAGTTATGACTCCAAATGGATTATTTGGGTGGGAAAGAATCTTTTAGTTATAAAATTAGAGACCATATATTATCGAAATTTCAGTTCTAGTAAGTAATATGAAGTTTTGAACTGATACTAAACCTAGTTCATAACAACACACGCATTCATTTGAGGAACAAAAACATGTATAAAAATAATAGTTATATTGATGAAATCAAGGTCCAAAAATGAAAAATGAAACTTGTCCAAAGCTGAACTATGTTTACGAGGAAAAAGACCAAAGAGATGTAAATCCAATATGAAAATCATATAAGAATATGATAGTATATCACTGGCTAGCACCGAGCCATTTTGTGAAGTTGTCAAACTCGGTGTAGTCACTGTCGGAGATCATAGTCTGGTACCACGACTTCCCTGCTGCTTTGATTGCCAATGCCTCCTCCTGTAATATTCAGTAAAGTTAGAGAAAACTCTAAATTCCGAACAAGAAAACTTTTACTGCTACAAATATACAAAGACATGATTCAGACAGACACTAACACACGAACTATAAAAGCAAAACTCATGCCAGAATGAAATCTCCAATTGCAAACATAACACTATCAATCAAAGACAATACTTCTAGACAACTAGACCACATAACATATATTAAAGCCACAGAGACACAATTATTTAAACAGCGTGAACAATGATAAACCAACAATGAGTGTGACAAAAGACAAAATAAACAAATGATATTTACCTTGGTGACAATCTTCCTCTTCTTGGTAAGCTTCTCCTTCTTAGCCACAACCCTCTGCGCCTCAGCCAACAAAGACATCCTCTTAGCAGTCTTAGCAAACGGATTCAACTTCAACATCACATTCAAATTCTTCAAAGGATTCTTCTTCATCACAGCCCTCTTCACATCCTTCTTAATCGGCTTCACCACACTCTGAACCTCATCCGAATTAATAATCCTCGCCAAATCAGCATTCACCATCTTAGCCCTAGGCAACACATACCCTTTCTTCTTCTCCGACGGAGTCTCAAAAGATCCATAGATACCTTCAAGCTTCTCAAAAGCAGACTTAGTCCAAATCACAAACCTCCCAACGTGACCACCAGGTGCAAGCTTCAACAAGTTAAGCCTCTCAACGTGACAAAGCTCAACACCAGGAAGGTTCCTAAACGCCTTCACAATCTTCCCTCCTTCGTTACCGTAAACCACAAGAGGCCCTTNAGGAAGGTTCCTAAACGCCTTCACAATCTTCCCTCCTTCGTTACCGTAAACCACAAGAGGCCCTTTCCGACAAACATACCTCCTGTTCCTCATTTTCCCCACACCAGACCTAATCCCAATACTCTCCTTCGCCTTCTCAGCGTCATCATAAGCACCAACCTGTTTCAAAACCCTAATAGCATCTGACGTCTTCTCCACGCCTTCAACAGAGTCACTCACCACAAGTGGCATTTCCGGAACATTCTCAATCTTATGTCCACGTCCCATCACA